GGGCGGCGGGACGGATGGCGACGGCCGGGGGCGGGGCGAGCGTGGCCGTGGCCGGGAGGAGGTGGAGGAGAGGCCGGTGGCTGGGGGCGGGGCGGGCGCGGGCGCGCGGGAGGTCGACTAGACGGCCGGCGGTGGCGGGGGCGACTAGCAGCGGCGGACGCGGGCGTGGGCGCGGGAGTTGGGAGGATTTTTCCCCTCCCGCGCGAGGATAACCGCCAAATGAGGATTGGGGTAGGTATTGCTCCTCAACCTTTATTTTTCAGGGTTGGAAGAGAGTTTGAGGGTGGACCCTTAAAAAAATTAAAAATTTAAGGGTTAAGGGGTTTTAGTCTACGCGATTTTTTGCTCGCAAACTGTAAAAATTATAAGGGTTTGGAGGGTTTAAGGGCTCTGCTGGAGATGCTCTTAGAGCATTACTAGTAGAGCCCTCAAACCTTCAAACCCCTAAAAATAACTGTTTTTTTACAGTTTTCGTCGAAAAAAAGCCGTAGACTAGAACCCCTTAACCCTTAAACCCTCAAAAAAAATTTAAAGGTCCAACCCTCAAAGCCTTTCCCAATCCTTAAAAGTAAGGGTTGGGGAGCAAACCCTACCGCAACCCTCATTTAGCGGTTATACTCGCGCGGGAGGGAAAAATCCTCCCAACTCCCGTGACCGCCGCTGCTAGCCACCCCGTCGACCTCCTGCGTGCAACGACAACGTCGTTTATGAGGAATATTCCGTTATAAAGGTTGAGCTTGAGGGTTCTAATCTTTGCCCCTATTTTTCAACCCGTAAAAATACATAAAAAAATTATTTTGGATCCTTAAAACGCTAGTGAGGGTTTGAGGGTTTGAGGGCACCAAAGCCCTCTCCCTCGTCCTCGCCGCCGCAGCCTGCACGGAGCTCGAAGCAGGAGTGGAGAGGGCGAAACAGTCCGGCGATGGAGTACGTCAACCCTCTCACCGGCTTCCGCGTCGACGGCCGCCGCCCCAACGAGGTCACGCCCCTCTCCTCCCTGTCCGCCTTCCTCTGCTTCAGGCTCGGCTGACTCTGCTTCTTCGCGGCCGGTGCCTCGCAGATGCGGCAGCTCAAGGGCGAGGTCGGCATCGTCTCCAGGGCCGACGGCTCGGCGCTCTTCGAGATGGGCAACACCAGGGTCATCGCCGCCGTCTACGGACCTCGAGAGGTAGTCCAATATTTCTCGCATATAGTTCGTGCACGCCAACTGTTCGATGCATTGTCTGTTAGGGGTTGGCGTGAGATGTGTAGTTAATTATCGGTGCTGAGCTGAATAGGGGCGGGGTTTTCGAATTGCACATGCCATGTATGGCGGAATGCTTGCGGGGATTGACGTCAGGTTTGTTTGTTGTTAGGTTCTGGATTCAGGATGATATTTTTCAAAGAGCACTCGAAATGTTTGATGGAATGTCTATGAACGGTTACTGTGAAGTTTCTAGTTAGTTTTTGGATATATGTTGGTTTGGGGCATCTTTGTCTATGAACTGATCCATTATGAGCTTTCTATGACATGGAGCACTGAAACGGCACAGCAGTCTTGTCATGTTGATCCTTCTGGTGTTTTGGGTACTGCAAATAACATGTTCTAGGAAACTGGTAGGGTCAATGGTGGCAGTAGAACATTTTTAGAAGCCCGCATAGCAGGTTCAGTGCAAGGCATCCACGCCCAAGTTCAGAAAGCAGTAAAAGCAAACTACTGAAACGAACTTAAAAGGTTCAACCATCTCCAAGTTTCTGTCCAACACACAGCCATGATCTAACTATTACATGCAAAGGACAATCCACACCACATTTCCAGTAAAGCACCAGATGAGTCAAGCCCTTGCCGTTGGAGCCATTGGCGACCAGCAGGTAGCATCAAGGGTTGAGACTGGGCTCACCAGAGAAGTCATCTGCTTGAGTGCCAGTAGAACATGGGGTATTTTCTCACAGGACCTATGGCGGCTCTTCCTTGTGCAGCTATGATATTGCCTTTTCATACCAGTTAGTATTCCTCAATATGAACGGCTAACAAATCTCAGCTTAAGACTAATGTTATGTTTGCTTGTTTTACTCATTCAGATCCAAAACAGGAGTCAGCAACAAAACGGTAAAGAGGCTTTGGTAAGTTTATTAGTCCAAGCGCATCAAGATTAAAGGTTTTCTTGTTAGGATGCCCTCATGAGAAATGTGTCTGCAGGTGCGTTGTGAGTATAGAATGGCAGAATTTAGCACTGGGGATCGAAGGAGAAAGCCAAAAGGTGACAGGTTTGTTCCAGCTTTGGGAGGAAGAACCGTTGACTATGGTGGATTCATTTATTATCAGTACACACTTTTGTCATGACAAGTTTTCATACCGTTATTCCAGGCTTATTCTCCATGTTATTTTTTTTTCAAATATTCGATATCATTATTGTTGTCTAGATCGGGGATAGTGTTAACTTTTAGTTATGTCTGATTTGTTCTTAAAGGGGAAAGGTACTCAGAGCTAAGGGTGGTGTCATGTCAAGAGCTTTTTAGGCCTGTAACATAATCAAATATTGCAATGCAGTTAAAGTAGAAGTTCAAGAATTTCCTCATGTGAAATAAAACAGACAGTGCTAATGTGTAGCTTAGTTGATTCGTGCCAGTGTTTTGTGGTGAACAACTGAACACACAGCATGCAAAGGGAATAACATGACTCATCAGTTATAGTCTACTTGCTATTTTACTTCCTGCACAACTATGTAGTAATAAGGTGAATCTACAACTTTGTGACAGGCGATCAACAGAAATTTCTCTTGTTATTCGGCAAACAATGGAGGCAAGCATATTAACACATTTAATGCCACACTCACAGGTGAGTCATCTCATCAGTTGCACCGCAAGAAACCTCTATCCTGAATTGTAAACAGGACCCACTCTGAATTCTTACTGTGTTTTGTTTGCAGATTGACATATTTGTCCAAGTTCTTCAAGCTGATGGTGGTAAGTGCACTATATTTGAATGTTTCATATCTATCTCTAATCAGCATGCATAAATAGAACCAACTTTATTTCTTTTGCCAAACCAAAGGCACACAACACAAGGCTTTTTTTGTCCAGAGGCCGTTTAAATATTTTACTTAGTACACATGCATTTTCTTGTTTCCATTACCCAGTCCTGCTGTGACTTACTATTATTTTTGACTATTTTGAAACGACTGTAGCATGAATGGTACTTAAAATGACTCCAGTTGCTATCTTGATCATGACTGCGTGTCTAACAGGAACCAGGTCCGCATGCATCAATGCTGCAACACTAGCACTTGCAGATGCTGGGATTCCAATGCGAGACATAGTCACTTCTTGCAGTGCTGGGTATCTGTGTTCTACTCCTTTGCTTGGTATGGGGCCTATTTTCTGTTCTCACATCTATGACAAAGCTAAGAATCATCTCATACAAAGAGGCCTCAACCATTCAATATGTTATTTCAGATCTGAATTATATAGAAGACAGCGCTGGAGGCGCGGATGTAACCGTTGGCATTCTTGCAAAGATGGACAAAGTGACTCTTCTGCAGGTTACAAAACGATCATAAACTTTGATTGCTCCAAATTTCAGGGCCTTCCCTAGCCCACGTCTCATCTGCAGCACAAATTTTCTGATGCGACACATTTCTGATTCATTCACAGCAACACTAATGCTCAAAAGGTGATTTTCAGATGGACGCGAAACTACCAATGGACACATTTGAGACTGTGATGGACCTTGCAACTGAAGGGTGCAAAGCGATCGCGACTTACATCCGAGAGGTTAAGAACCGTTCCTTATTCTCAGCCGCCCTTGCTCAATTACATCTTCTCCAAACTTGTCGTCCTACCATTGGATACACTGAAACCTTATTTCCCATTGTAATGGAACCTGAATGCTGGTTGGATGTGCTGTGATGCTGAAACAGGTGCTATTGGAGAACACGAAGCAGCTGGAGTGTCAGCGAGGCTAGTTAAACCTAGCAGGCGGATGCCATTAAACGAGAGCCTGTAGCACTTGAAGGCGGGTCTGTTGTGTAACGCTGATTGATGGCTTATCTGCCTAGCAGAGCTAGCATTGAGAGAAAAAAATGGCACTGAACCTGTCAAAGATAGCCGGACCATCATTTTCCCTCCTAACGTAAATGCTGTAGCGCACAGGAGATGACATCTTGATTATGTGAAACTTTGATGTTGAACTTGGTATCCATGTTGTACTTTTGAAAATGTTTTAACACGGTGCAAATTTAACTTCAAAATAGCAGACGGAGTATATGGTACATACATCCCCAGGTTGACATGTTGTGAAAGCATTTCTACCTCCTGTATGATGAAATATTTGTTCGACTGAAAAACTCTTATAGAAGAAAGCATATGTATGCAGCTATCATTCTGCCTGCATCATCACCAAATGGCAACACAGCTCCATCACACCATTTTGCTGGCTGTAGTCAAATATTATTCTGCCTTGAAGACACAAAAGGAGCTATAATAAATACATCAGTTTCGTTCACAACAATGGAGCCAAAGTTACAACATGACACATGTCTACATAATGTATATTAATAGGGTTTGAATCAACAGAGCAACAATATACTGAACTGATGATATGGACACAAAGGGAACAGCAAGCACACTATGAAACCAGCACGCATGCCGCTGAATTAGTTTTGGGCTGAGGCCGCTTGATTCCCGACAGGAAACGCCGACATGGTAGCATTGTTCTCCTGGCCTGTTGCGTCCACGCTAGCGTGTCGCGTGAACTCCTCAGGCGTCATGTGTGTGCCATGGCAAGCACACACGATCTTCACTTCGTTTCTGCCGAAGTTGTATGTTACGCCCGATATGGTCCTGCCATTTGGTCCAGACCCGGTTGTGGATACCCAGGGAAGATCAGGGTATGATCCGGACCCTCCGAATTTGACATTCGGGGCGATGCCCGGCCTTATACCAGAGCCCGAGCCCATGAGAGGCAATACCTTCTCAACGACCTTACCATCCTCCAAAAGAGCAGAGGAGGACGCGCCAGCCTCTGCAGTTCATAAAGAAGAGAAAAGGAAACGATTAACTTCCAAATTTTAAACGAACAAAAGGTATAGCTGTGCATATAAGAAGCTTAATGAGGAATTACTTTTCAACTATGCTCATTTTACCTTACTAGATTACAGGAAAGCACTTCCATATCAAGAAGTGGCAGTGCTGCTCACAGATACTCCCTCCAATCCATAATAAGTGTCGCAGCGTTGAACTAAGGTTGAAATAACCTTAGTTCAAAAAACTGCAACACTTATTTTGGATCGGAGGGAGTAGTAATTAAAGTGGTTCTAAATTAGATGAGCTAACTACACACCTCCAGATTGCTTCTGTCACACCAAACCGAAGGAGAAACTAATAAAAGGACATTTGGGACTGGACAGCAGACTAAAACTCTTCACTGAAATATCCAGACCAAGTATTTCAACTCAGTGTTCTTACATAACCTAACAAATCCAGATGTCATTTAGAGAGGTAGACACATATAGGAGTCATTTTACGACATATATTTGAGCACCGTAGCAACATGAGCTTTTCCTCTATTTATTTGCACATATGTAGAGAGTATTACGAGGTGAACTAACCTTGAGGTTTCTTTCCATCATCAGCTTGTTTGGCTCCTGCTCGTTCGGCTTGCTTTGCAGCAAAGGAAGAAATAGCCTGAGGCGGAGTACCAAATGCCCATGAAGAGCTCGTTTCAAGTATTGGTAGCTGACCTGTTGGGTAACCAAAAGAAACCTGGGAGGCACCACCCATCGTCTGGACCGCTGGTCCATTGTTTACGGGTGGCCTCAATTGCACTGTATACATTGGAGGAAAATTGGGTGCATTAGTTATGCCCAGGGGTGCTGAAACCTGAGTCTGGCCTTGATATTGTGCAGTCACTACATTTGATGCTTGTAAGGGATTTCCATGCGGCAACTTTCCAGAGCTAGATTCACTTCCTGAAAAGCTCGGTTGCCTTTTTCCTTGAAATCCACCTGTAGCATCATCACTGGATCTCTTTATATCGGATCCTCTGTTTACCACAGAGCCCTTGGCACTGTCTTCACGCTGTGCAACCAACCAAGAGTTTGAGCCTTCTGCTTCCGAGTCTGCAACATCCTCATTTTCACCTGTTGAACCATCATCCGTGCTAATTGAAATCGGTGCATTTTTCACACCTCCCTCAGAGCTCTTACTGAATGCATCAGGCTGGTCAGCAGCAGAATGATGCTTCTTCTGAAAACTTGTCTCTTCAGAAAGCAGCTTTCGTTTACTTGAGACTGGCATGTTTTCCTCCGAATTATTTCCAATATTATTTGGAGTCCGCCCCTCCTGATACTGGGGAAGCTGAGATTGGTGGGCTATTAGTTCACTTGATCCATCTGCCACTGGAGCAGAGGAGCCACCGTGTTGTCCCCAGAAGTTTCCAAATGGCGGGGTAGCAGGGCTATGCCTCTGCTTGCTACTGTGTTCCTGGTTCTCAGCAGTTGCTTGATAGTAATGCGCAAAGGGAGCATCGGGAGGTTGCGAGACGCCTTTGCTACTGCTCTCTTCCACTTGAGGTTCTGCTTTAGGCTCTAGAGAAGCATCTCTTGCCTTAGACTTCCCAGAAGACCCACCACCCAAAGAGAGGCCTAAACTAAGCTCAAGGCCATCCTCCATTTCTAGTTTCTGGTGATCGTATGGTAAAAACCTGATTCTTCAGTATATACCACCAGACTGCCTTGTGTTATAATTATCCCATTTAAGCAGTCATCTCTGCAACGTAACAATATTATAGTAAGGGTATGCCATCATGTCTGTCCATGACAATAAAGAAGTGTATGTAGAAGTACAAAAATATAACAATCCATCATAAGAATAGATGCTAAACAACTATGAAGCACCAATACGGCCAGGTCTGGCGTTCCTGTTACAATACGCAGCCGATACGCCAAATACGTGTATCCCCAGAGTGACACGGGAAGACGATACGGCCATCGGCATGCCGCCGACATGTCGGGGACACGGTAAGCCCAGTAGATGCCCACTCCTAAACCTAACAGCCAGCTCTCTCTCACTTGCTCTATTCGCTCAATTGACCAGGGCAGAAGATTGGATCAAGAGCAACTGGGCGACCGCACGAGCGTGCCTCCGCCGTCGCCGCCTGGATTCACCTCGCTGCCCTCCAGAGTCACCACTATGATTTGCTGTATAATGCTCCTGTTTGCTGCTGCTGACCTACTGATGTTGCTGTTGTGCTGGTTAGGGAGTGGCGTGGCATGTGCAGCCCATCTTCAGGCATGGAAGCAACATACCGACATGGCATCTGCAGGCAGTGGCATGCCAGGCAGCCAATCTTCAGTTGGTGGTAGTATAAACAACAGTATCGGTGTTGATACTGAAGAGACTGGGGCTGGTATTGTCAATCAGAAGTATCCTCTACGGGCTCATTCTACAACTTAAAAGTACCATGAACATTGAGGAAATTGATGATCATTCCGTCATTAAAGACTTGAAAAAAGAGGCATGGAAGCAACAAATGGGGCAGTATTTTGATCTCTTGCGCATCCAATTATTCTGTTTTTATTACAGGGCACTTCATTAATTATTCATATATACTCCCCGTATCGCCCTATGGCTTTCTAGAAATTGCTATATCCCATGTCCTTGTATCCATGTCACCACATCAGTGCGGCGTAGCTAAACGACTACGTTTCGGACGGACCATTTTGGGCTGCTCGAGGGCACATAAATCGTACAGGGGGGATATGGAATGTTCTAATCGGTTGCACGAAAAACATCAGAACCATAACCCAAATTCATGTCTGTCTACAGTACTGTGGCTATTAGGAATTCAGAATCAGCCCCGTGCTTATTTGACTCGAATCAAGCAGCCCAGCTGCCCTCCTCTCGCAGCCCCAGGAGGAGGCGGTTCTCCAGGGCCAAGGCAGCGGAGCGATCCGACCGCCCCTCCTCTCCCCAGGGGACGGGATCTAGCTACAGGGGCGGGCGACCTCGATACCATTCCGGTATCGTCCAGCTTCTGTCCCCCTGACCGTCAACTAATCAATCACGCGAATTCCTAAATCTGCGCCCTCCCTCCCTCGCTAAAACTCCCGTCCGCGCAGATCCAAATCCTATCGACCCGCCTCCAACTGTAACTGTGAAAATCCTGAACCCAGCGCCCGGGGGAAGAAATCAAAACAGAAAGCAGATCAGGAGCCCCGAACCAGTGGTGCGCAGAGCGCCGCGCCTGCGTCCTTCCTCGCGGCCGGCGGCTCGCCGGCGACGGGCCACGGGCCACGGGGTGGAGCCGGGGGCCGGGGAGGCGACGGCGGGGCGGGCGCGCGCGCGGGGGGGCCTCCGGTCGCCGGCGGCGGGGAGGGCGGGACGGGGGGAGCTCGCTCTAGTTGGTTAGTTCGGGCGCGTGGAGAGGAGGGAGGAGGGAGGGAGAGGGGAGGAAGCTACGCGATGGAGGGAGGGAGGGAGGGAGCTCGCGTCGTTTGCTCCGGGTCTGGCAGGTGGGGCCCGGCGCTCAGCGACCGGGCGGGACGGACGCGGTTGCGTGGGCGGTTCCGCGGTTCGGCAGGTCGACGGTGCGGCGTGGGCCCGCCTGCCGGATTTGTTTGTTTGCTCCTCCTCTTTTGTTTAGGGCCCGTTCGGACTGCAGGGATTGAAAACAATGGAATAGATAACTTTGCAGGAACATGATTTGCTTGACTAGTGGAAACTTTGGAATGTGAAGCAGCGGATGCAGAATTTTCCGGCGTTCGGCGCGAAGCAGTAGAAGCAAAGGAAAGAAGGATTAACGCTAGTGCATGCAGCCTTCCTGCAACAGGAATAATATATTTTTTTATTCACCCGGACATGCGACCTACGGTGCGTCTCGCTTGATTCGCATGCATGTAAGGATTTTTTTATTCGGCTAGCTGACACCTGCATCGCGCTTCCACCCAAACATTGGGTTCCACTGGATTTTCTAATTCCCGTGAAATGTACAGGCCAGGTTCACTTTCCTATGTAACGAGCCACCAGTCATCCTTTGAACCGAACGCATCACAGTTTGTTTTTCCGGAGGAAAATGAACCTGCATAATTTCCTGCATAATTCCTGCAAACCGAACGAAGCCTTACTATCCGCACGTGGTTTCTGTGCGCGTGCCGGCCGCGAATTTAATTTGGGTGTCGTCGTGCGTGGAGTTTGTTCAGGCGAAAGTCGCCCGAGTGGTGCATTTTTTATTTTCCTTTTCGATCCAGGCGGCTACCCACTGGATTTGTTATCCTTTTTATTTATTAAACAAAAACAAGGGAGAGCTCCTGGCTCCATTTTATATAACATCTTACAGGCAGCTAAAAGTTTAAGAGAAAGAAAAACCAAGCTACATCCATGTCCTGATCAGGAGGACCCCGGCCAAACATTACTCAATCACAGAGAATGCACTTAGAAAGTGCAAAAAAGATAAGCAGGTCAAGCAACCGGAGGCGAAGAGAAGCACATCACATGTAGAGCGGACACGAGGCCCGCCTCAGATGCAGGGGCTGGTACGGGTTTTGCCATGACGCTCATGTTCTTCTGCCTCCAAACAATCTTCATCTTGATCAACTCCCTTCATGGAAGAAACAGAAGCTTGAGAAGTGATACCACTAAAAACCTAATTCGCTCTCAAATAAAAACCTAGTTCACTCACTAAAGCATCCATGGCTGAATGGTGAAAGCGTCCACCAATGTAGAAAGGCAAAATGGGTCACAAAGTAGGTTTGATTCCTGATGGATGCACAACCTCTTAAAAGATAGAACCAGAGGTGGGAAAGAAGGTAGTATAGGAAACTTTCTTTTCGATTCTTCTCGAAAGTGAATCCCTCTAACGCTTCTATTAGTGTTTTACGAGAAATTTTTTTATAGACACAACTAGTGTGAAAATCCTTAGTCACTGGGAAAGAAAGCTCGATGGGAACAAAAAGGATACAATTAGTTTAGATTAAAAAAAACATACAATTTCAAAGAAAAGAAGGAATGGCAAGTTTCCCTCCATTGAACATCAAACAATCTAGAAAATAGGTAAAGGAAGGCGCATCATAGCGGTATTTTTCTTTTTTTCTATTCACTTTCTAGGGTTCTAAATTGAAAACATGAACAGGAACAAAATCGTATTGAAATTACATAAAAGAAAAGAGAAGGGAGGAGTAGCTCTTGGTTTAAAGAAATGGGGGGGGGGGTCGAATTCAATCCTTTTCCTTTCTTTGATGATCTTCAACACATCTATTTGAATTCCCTACGAGTGAAGGATTTCATGTATGGAGAAAATCTCTTGAGGGCTATCTGATCTTGCGTAGGGCTAGGCTGGCTTGCAAGATTCGCTTCGTGCCATTGGCAAAACACTAATATGTGCTTCGCCCTTCTCTTCCTTTAAGTTTAACAGGCAGTTGGGCAACCAATCAAGGGGGAACACGTTCGATGGAATAATTTCTTAGATGTATTACCCTATCCTCATGGGTTGGGACCCCTTTTGACAGGTCAAAAGATAGCTTCACCCCTACTCAATATGGAAAGGGATCTGTATATTTGTAGTACCCGTGGATAGAAATCTTCTAGCTGAGCCGATGTCTGCTCCTTGAAGATCAAACTCCATTTCCTTACCGGTCTTAACATTAGTGACCAAATCTGATACAGAAAGACCCAAGTAGCACCGTTAAAAATGATGCTATTCATGTGTGTTCAGTGGGCCCAAAGAATAGTAGCACTAACAGTATTAAGATCATTTAGCTTATGACGAGCCACCCACACAGAGGCAATAGGCTCATTCCCACACATTTGCCTATTAAAAAAACCATTAGCTTCAGCCCAAATGTGTCAGGCCACTATGCAATCAAAAAATATAGGGAATGGATTCACTACGAGAACTGCATACACAGTCTTCGCTTTTGATGTTTCTCTTCTTGAGATTGTCCCTAGTCATCAACTTGTTATTAAACAAAATCCATATAAAAACATGAATCCTAGGAGGAATCACCAGTTTCCAAACGGAAGGAATGACAACAAGGATTTTTTATTTTTATTTTTTTAGAATCAGATTGATTTGTTTAACTCATCAAACTAAGCAAGTTAAAGCATCTACAACCGGACTAGACAAATATGACTCATAAATGTCAGCGGGCACATTTGAACTGATCCATTAAAACTGAAGGTTATTCACTTTGATAGAAAATTGTTGCTTACTACAAACCCTAGCACTTGGGGTCCCAACACCTTCCTAGTTGAGATGCAAACGGTCTGCCCGTGCCTCCTTGATAGAGTGTAACCCACCGATCTACATCCCCTTGCTGACCTGGGTTGCTTAATTAGATGGTGCCTGCAAAACACCCTTTTGCCCACAAACCCACGTCACCTACTCCAAAGCATCACCACTTAAGCCCGACTACATATCTCAGGGAGCTCGAGGAGTGTAGGGCCAAAAAGAGGTATATCGTGGCCTCACTGTCGAACGAGGAGGAGGTGGCTACCATGTGTTCGAACATTATGATCCTAGAGGAGCACCTCACCGCCGTGGCACCGCGCGTTGCCCGCAAAAGGCTTCAAATCAGCGGGCTTATGTATTTGCGTATCTTATGGTTGATGGGTACGATATAGAACTCGTTGACAATGATGGCTTAAAAGTGGGTTATGGCACAAATGACATGGCC